TGAAATGGTGGCGCCATCTGAATGAAGACCCAACTGCCCCGTTCGAGTCAGAAGCCAAGTGGTTTGACAATGCGGAGCCCACCATGGTCGCTGTTTGCGACCACGGTGCGAGGACGAGCTTTGGTTTCAAAAGCGACGAGGAAGTCCCCTGGCGGTGGCAAGAGATGGCGGCGACGCTCAGGGAGGAAGATATCAGGGAGGTCGTGGGGGGGCCCCGCAGCAGCGGGGCTCTGATCGGCGGCCCCCTCGAAGTCCGGCCAAACAGCTACGACCACATGCGTCAGAGTATTGTGCGCGCGCGACAGTTCGCGGGGCAGCGGGTGAAAGTGAAGCTGCCGATGTGGGATTTCGCGTTGCACCGCGACGACGGGATAGGCGTCCGTTTACACCCGCACTGGGGCGACAGGAAGGTCGAAGCTCTGCCCCGTCCCCCACGCGGACACGGTGAGGCCACCAGCCGCGGGTTTGGGCGGGGGCGACGGGTCAGGAACTTTTCGCTGGCACAAGGACCTCGGTGTGGAGCGTAAGGTCAAGTTCGACGCCGCCAGAGAGAAGGGGGGGCCGACGCCTTCTCAGGGGCCCCGCAGCAGCGGGGCCGCGGCGTCCAGCACCAGGCCCTCGGCGCCCGCAGCAGCGGCTGGCAAACCGGTAGTTTCGGGGCCGAATAACTCCCCAGACGATTTGGTTGCGGAGTAGATGGCTCCGCAGCAGCAGCGGGGCTCGAACGAAGGGCGCGTCGCATTTCGGCAGGGGCGCGCGCGTCGGCCGCCGAGATCGGGAGCGCGCGTGCAGGCGCCGTGGCGCGATCTTCGTTAAGAAGTCTTCCCTCTCCTCCCTGTCCCCCCATCCCGCCGCCCTCAACGTCGGCTCCTCGCCGCCCGTTCCTCGTCGCTCCACGCCTGTTCTATCTCCTCCAATTTCCTCTCCCGATTCCTCGTTCTCTCCTTCCCATTTTTCCCTCCATCCCATTGCATCCCTGGCACCCCAGCGAAGTTCGCAGCTCGAAGTTTGAAGTTCGGAGTTCGAAGGTCGCAGTTTGAATTTCGAAGCTTCGCACTTCGAAGTTCGATCTTCGAACCTTCGTCATCTCGTCGTCGTAATCGTCGTCCTCGTTCGTCGTCGTCGTTCCTCGTCGGCGTCGATTGTCGTTGTCGTCGTCGCTCGTTGTCGTCGTCGCCGTCGTCGTCGTGGTCGGCGTCGTCGTCGTCGGTCGTCGTCGTCGCTAGTCGTCGTCGCTGGTCGCCGTCGTGGTCATCGTCCTCGTCGTCGTCGTCGTGGTCGTCGTCGTCCTCGTTGTCGCCGTCGTGGTCATCGTCCTCGTCGTTGTCGTGAAACGCCCCACGTAGGAGGAGCAGAGAAGGGAGTAAGGAGAAATGAGCACGGTGGAGGGAGGAGGGAGGATTGAACAGGAAGAGGAGGGTGCAGATGGAGGTAGAAGGGATGAGGTAGTTCAGAAGTGGGAGCAGCAGACTGGCGCAATGGGAAAAGCCATGTGAGTGCAGGGAGGGATGGAAATTCGATAAAGTGAAGCCGCAGCCGCTGCAGGCCTGCCTCCCGCCGCGCCCGCCCGCCTCCGCGACGGAACCGCGCAGGGGCCTCTGCCGAAGTCTCCGCAGCAGCGGGGACTGCCAGAGGAGGCTCCTTCGCGGCCTTTGCGCCGCTATGGCGAGCATCGCGGGCAAGTACGACGTCGATGACTTCGAGCTCATCGCGACGGAGGGCAGTGTTTGGAACTGGGCGACCATGGTGGTGCGGTTTTTCCAGTGGCGCAATCGTTGCCGCCATGCACGCGCCGTTGGAGAGAAGGGCCAGATGCTCGTCGACCAGGCGCGGCAGATGATGGAGGAGGCGCGCCGCACCGAGGAGAAGGGCAAGATGATGCTTGAGATGTCGAAGAAGACGGTGAAGGACATCCCAGGCAATATTCGGCACTTTTGCCGCCAGCCGCACCAGGAGAGCTGAGCGGCGATCGGAGCTGGGCCGATAGAGGAGGACGAGGAGGAAGAGGAGGGGGGATGAGGAGAGGAGGAGGAGGGGGATGAGGAGTTGGAGGCGCACGCGCACCCGCACTAAGAGCCGCCAGCCGCGCCCGTCTCCGAGCATGGAACCCGAGCTTGGCTGGAAGGGGGGAGGGTGGTAGCAGAAACAGCGCAGGACAGGGATGGGAGAGGTCACGCATCCGCCGCAGTAGCGGCGGTGGTACGACAGTTCTCATGGCGGCGCGGCGGTCGCTGAGAAATGGAGCACGTGCGTGGGCCTGCGTGCGCTTAATTATGAGTGGCTCTCGTCCCCTCCCCTCCTCTTCCTCCATGAGATCTCTCTCCTGGTGCATATCCCCTGCCAAGTCTCGTCCTGCTCCTCTATCCGCCCCCCCTCGTCCGTTCCTGCCACCAGCCGCATGGGGCGTTCTCAATCAACACCCCAGTGAGTGTCCCCATGTGAAGGTTGCCCTTGTCATGAGGGCGGACTCGCAAGAGCCGAGTGGCTGAAGAACTAGTAG